AGCGAAGACATCTGATGTCATTGAATCATAAGATTAGCTTATAAGTGCTTAAGATTATTTGTTCAGATAACTGTACGTTTCTAAGTGCAATTGAAAAATTGAACCGTATTATACATAGATCATGAGAAAGGTACACATTTTTATTTAACCTATTTATCCTTATTTGATTTCATTATTAAGCAATTAGAAATAAATTATTGTGTCAATGACGTTCAAAACAGGAAATCTGTTCTCTATGTTTAACACATGTTGCTTCAAAATTTTTGTAACTATAGAGGCATACTTCAGCAATATTATAGGTTCGATTTCAGATTATCATTAAAACGAATTTTTTTAATATATATATATATATATAAAATTCGTTTATAAGTTAAAGGATATTATTTATGGAGAGAAAATATTAATAACAATTATCTAAATGTTCTACTTGTAGTTTTTTTTTTCTAATGCATGATCTTTTGATGAGAACTATTAATTGAGCAGAGTGGTGGTTGTTAAAGACATTGGATTGTCAACTTTATAAAATGTCGGGTTGCTCGACTTCGTTTCACGAAGAATTCCTCTGTGCTGTCTGATATTTTACTTGCAATAATTGAAATTCATCCTCTCAAATCTTAGCACTGCTTTATCAACTAAATCTATGTAATATTCTGATTTACACAGCATCTTCAATAAAAATAGATTTCATTTCAAGAAATTTTTTTGTTCATGCATAGATAGTAACTCCTCATCTGTTAAAGATTATGAAATTTCAGCAATTTATTAACATCTTTCACCTCTATTTTTAATTCTAGTTCTTGTAGTTATTTCATTTATTATAATTATTTTTCTGTAGTTGTGAATCCTTCGAAATTATCTATAAGAATAAGAATTGGAATTAATTTTGTACTGAATTTTTGCTAATGTACATAAATATATTTATTTCCGCTTATGAATGTTTTTAATAGTCTAAAAATTCATTTCTAAAATGTTTTTGCTTTACTTTAACCAGTTAAACAAACCATTATTTATGGTTATGACTTTAAGAAATATATTTTTTAAATAATTAATAGAATTACATTAAACAAACTATCAATTGGTCCAATTCGAATATTGTTAAAATTACAATAATAATAAAGATTATTGATAATAGTCATCGTTAGATGTGTATGCATTTTTGGAAAATTTGAGACTTCAAAAATCTATAGAATTTATATAACACGTAAAAATATAAAACATCCAGAGTAGAGAAATTATTATTAACATTTATTGTTAATAGGTAAAGCAAATTTCTACTTAGAATCAATTTTTTTAATTATTTTCATAAAAATATAAAATTACACAAACACCGTATCTACTAACAATAAGTGCAATTAAATAAGATTAATTTATGAAAGTAATTTATGAAAATACGAAGCATGATAAAATGAAATATGGCATTTGATGATAGATCGTTTATGTGATTAGTGGCTTTTTGAATGAAAATGAGATACACATAGATATTCAAAACTTAAACTATAGAATTGAACAAAGAACAAAGTTTCATCTTATGTTTAAATGGAATCCGATGAATCACGTGGAATATTTCTTTCTTCAGTGTATGTACATATGTGTATCGTCAGTTCTTGTTTGGTATTTCACTTTGTACCTTTCTTTGGTTAATCAAGGATACATTTGATATATTTTCTAATTTAGATCGAACTATAGTAGTTAGCAACAAAATCTTTAACCAATGTATTCAGCTTCAGAGTAAACAGATTTTTTTAATTCTCTTAAAATTCTTTACATTTTAATTCCTTTCATTTTTTAATTTTTAAATGATTCTTTTTTAATTCTGCAAGAATAAAGTTCTAATCGGAATTTTCTGTTTTTCAGGCTCCTACTGTCAAATGGCACCAGGTAAATAAACAGTTTCCTATTTCAAACTTACGACTTAAAAAGAATAGCTAAAATAAAATAAATAATAAATATAATTTTTCTGCTTATAATTTGCTTTCTGCGATTAAGTTAAATTTCTTAATAAAATATAAATGCTAAAGACTATGTGCAATATGTCTGGATCTATAAGAAAGAATTGTAGCTTGTTTGTCAGAATAACTGATCTCAGGCAACCTATTAGTGATTAGGTATTCACAATTGAATCTCATTCCATTTGGAATTGCTAATTTCACTCAAAACAGAAAGTGTATAACTTTTACTTTAGTAGAATCAAATGTCAAGGCAAGGTAGTGAGTAATTAATTTTATTTTAGTCGAAATGGATTTTTATTAATATTCTTACTTAAAGATGGTTTTTAAATAGTAGCTCCGTCCAAAAAATAGGTATCCGCAATTTCTCCTTTGTTTAATTGCAAGAACGAAGATTGTATTATTTCCGTTTCTTTATCGTGTAGCAGGGACTTAGTGAATTAACGGTGCCTATCCTTGGAATATGTAGTGATATGTGATTATATGCGTGCACAAGCAAACCTCGCGTCTGCACATGCATGCATCTCGTAAACGGCATATTGGCAGACTTCATCGCTCTTAGAAGATCGATCCAGATTATGACGATTTTGTGTAGATAGGCCCACGCCTGTACACCAGACGATTCAAAAATACGAACTTCTGTAATGTAAAATATTAACCTTAAGAGTTTGTGAAATTTTAGGAAATCAGGAAAGTAGCTCGTTCTATTTCATTATTTTATTTCCTAGCTTTGTTACATGAATGTTTATAAAACTATCTTTCAGACAAAACGTTTATTTTTGTATTTTTCACGAGAGATTGAACATATTAAATTGATTTATGTAGTATTGCGAAGATGAGTTAGTATGTGAGTATAAATATTATGAATATAATTGAACATAAGCATAATTTAATTATTATGGAATCAAGAAGGAATTAACTCGTCAATATTTCAACCTTTGAATGTAATATGTAATTTCTTTCTTTATTTATAGATCTATCGTTTTTGTTAAAGTTTAGTATCATTTTCATTAAAAATAAATTATATTATAATTATATTTACAAGAATTAAACTAGATCAGATCAATTTATATTTATTGAAATTATTAATTCTATAATTATGGAAGTGTTTGATTAAGGAATAACCTAGTAGGTTATTTTATAAAAATTATAATTTTTCAAATAAAATGCGTTTATTATCTTTAAAGTAACATGTACTATCGTACATAAGCAATTGGATATCTAGAATAATTCCATCGAATTTTTTGATATTTTTATTTTATTTTATTTATATGATTATGATCAACCTCTATTTTAATTTTCTACATTTTATTATAATTGAAATCTTTATTTTATTATAACTAAAATGCTTAAGTTTAGTCTAACGTAAGGAATACATTCGTATTCGACTTCTATATTCATTTCTAGTAAATAGCTGATATTTCATAATTTAGACAAAATTAGAAACGTTTTGATTGTCTGTAAATTTAATCCTCAATCATTTTCAGTACTGAGTTTTTATTTATATTAATTGATATTTTATTAATTGTATGTTGTAATTATATTTAAAAAATTTATTTGAATTATTTCAATCTATATAATATATGTGTGTATTTGAACTGTCTAAATATTTATATGCAATATCGTACGTAATTCTCATTTAATTTTGCTGGTGATGATTAAAAGAGAATATGCTATATGTGTTTGGTTTGTTTAATCTATAGTATATTGAAAAAGTATTAATAAATTTTTGAACTTCCAACAATTTGTAAATTTTTTCTTCATAAATAAGACTCGTCTCATTGCCATGCTTTCTCACTTTCTAATCACAAGTTTTTAAAATTTTCTTATCTTCTTTATATTTGGGTCACCTTATTATATATACACTCGTAAGAACGTGTTTACCTTGGTTATACTGCAATTATAAATAATTACAATGAAGTGCCAACGCTGACGCGTATTAAACGTTTTTGCAAAGATCTTATCTGTTTTCAAATTATTTTGCCGTAGGGGCGAACATTAAATAACGTATGGCAATAATTACGAATCGTAATAGGCTGATAAATTCAGTTGCAATCTTCGCATCAATTGATAGCAGAATTACATTTATGTTGTAAATGAGAAAAAGTGTTTAAACGTATTCTATTTCTAAATTATTCTACTATTACTAAAGACGTTAAATCTTCGCATAGAAACTATTCATACATTACCAAACTCCAACTAATATTTCCTCTTGCTCTCCACGTCTCTGTCGTATCACTGAACGAAAGAGAAGAAACAAAATATATATATTCCATAACTCCGTAATCGTTCCGTAATCGAACATCCTACATGAACGTATCTAACCACATGCAAACGATACTCATAACACACATTCATAGACAGAATACGTAGGTTCAACTTACACAGGCAATCGCTGCCCAGCAATGTGTCCCATCGGCTTATAGACGAACGAACCATTCCACAGTAACAATGTTTGTCAGTCAACGGATGACTTCTGCCGGGTCGCATACCAAAATTACTGTGCGTCGTGTTCGTGTCCTCGATCAGATTCTTCGGTCGATCTCTTCGTCAGAGGCAGAACGGAAAAGTAGATTCGGCTGCTTCGTCGATCATGCATTTGAAGGTGTGCGTAATTTTTGCAGCGATGGCTGGAGCCACTAGAGGCTGGGATCTGGGAAGCGGGTTGAAATATAAGCTGACGACGACCTTGTTGTTCAGCGAGGCAGCCCCGTCGAAATCCAGCGGGGACGTTGGCTTCCGATTAACCAGCGAATTGGACGTGACCGCCGTCTGGCAGAGACCGGACGATCCGAGTAGTTTCTTGCTGAAGATCCAGGTAAGAATATTGTTTGATTTCATTTTCATTTGAACGAAATTTTAACCAAGGTCCGATTCACTGGATTTCTGTCAAATGGATCTCTACTTTTGGATGTGAAGTTCGATCGTTTGAAGAAGTCGTGAGCAGAATCGAACTCGTTACAATACAATGCTACCATTATGTATTGTAAGCTTTGTAAAGCTTTTTTAAGTGGAGTATAGACTACTTGGGTCTGATAAATCGAATTCTACAATAACTTTTATTTTTATATTATGATTATATTCTATAATGTAATATATTACTATTATTTTATATATTCTATAATATATTACTTTTATTTTATATTTTTATTGTTTATTTTTAGAAAATATAAACATCTTGAGATTAGAGTATTAATTTGTATATGAATAAAGAGATATTTTTGAAATTTTTTTCGCTATTATTAGTAGTATGCATGAAACTTTTTATTTAGAATTTGATATTTATTTCATTTTAAGCAAGTACATTATCATAAAATATTTCGTGTTCAGAGTAGAGTGTTCTACTACAGAGTAATTATCAAATTATATATTATCAGCAACATAATAATCAGTTTATATTTTTCAATGGTATTATATCAAAATTATAGAAATGCTACTTCCTTCCCGATTTCGATGATTTTTGAATATATTATAAAAATCAACACTTCAAATCTAAATCTTTCCGAGATAATATTCGCTAAGACTGCCAGTACTAGCCCTAAATTTTGTCTATGTGTACATCTGTGACACTAGTTATTGCTCCTTTTATCTTTGTATTATACTTATAAATCTAAATAACAACTTCTACGAAAATCTTGTTTGTACGAAAATTGCATTTGTCGTTCTGTTAGAACAGATAATTACATCTTTTACCAAGTTTGTTTGAAAAATAACTATTTTACGTAAGTGTCGCCGGCTGACTTATATCTTTTTATGAAGTGACTAATATTTCTTTTCATTTTTAATTAAGTTATAACACAGATATTTCTTACAATCTTGCATATGCAGTTGTGCATATAACGTTGGCCCAAACGTTCGGCCAACATTTCGTTTATATGTACTATAAACTAAAGATCAGAATTAGGTTTGAATTGGTTTATTCTGCTGTGTTAAATCAAGAAAGTGTATCTGTAACTTTTATTTAAATCAAATTATTAATGCTAAGTGGCATAAATAATTTGTCTATGTGCATATTATAAAGAAATCTTTTTTGTAGGGAATGTATTGTATCGAAACTGAAGATATAATAGTTAGAGATATATAGCTTGATCGTTAAATATTGAAGTTCTCTTCTAAAGTTGTTTATCAAACCACCTTTTATCTAAATACGCCTATTTGAATTAACACGGCAGTATTATATAGCTGTTGTATTATAATTATAGGCAAAATTTATTGTAATGGTGTCGACAATTTTTTTCAAATACCTTGAAAACTCCAATCATCCAGTTACACAAGAAAAACTTGTTTAAAATGTTGATAACATATTCAAGAACCATCGAAATCGGAGAGATTTTTTTACAACTTCATCTTTTTCAATATTCACATGAAAAAAATGTACATATGCAATGAATCAATTTACCTATTTCGAATGTATGTGAAACGATATAATTGAGTTACTAGATGCAAAACAAAATTTCTGTAGCATTTTTATCAAGAAACGAGTGATATGCATATTACTAATATGAAACTATGATAACCTTTTCTGATAAGGTTAAAGTTTTGAGATACCGAATGGAATATATGTAGCTTGTATTATGCGAAAAATAGCGCTTGGAGCTTTAAAATTAATCAAATGGAAGAAAAAATATTGTAAATTTTGGTTGAAAAACTAAAATTTTGAAATTTCATGGATGGTTCGCTTATTTCGGTTCTCTGGGTTTTCTCTTAATTAATTGCAAAGTTTCAACTAAAATGATCATCATATATCTGCACTTTCTATATATGACTTCCGTTTTTACAAATTGTTTCCTTTTTCAATTTTCTTCACTTTATTGTTGAATTGAATGACTTTGAAGTTGTGAGAAATTCAAAGAAACTGAATTATGTACAGCTTGTTTAAACAATCACATTAAGATTTAAGATTTAAAATGATAAATTCAAATTTATTCATTGACAATATTAAATTTATGGTCTGTATGCAACGTTAAGATTTGCAGAATTTGATTGGGATGTTCCACATTCATTCTATTTCATTCTCCTCATACTCTTCGAATATTATCCGGTTTAATTTGTTTCTTTCATTTCTCTTCATAGTAAAAAATTTGACTCAACAAATGACATTAAAATGCATTTTGAGTAACAAATTTGTTAAAAATTTTGAAAAGATGGCATTATGAGAAGAGATGGAAAAAAATAATAGATCATAATGGATCGTAATTTTTTAACATGATATGACCTAAAAACATTTTATAATATGATCGATAACCTAAAAAATTATACATCAATTATCTATTAATAAAATGAAAGAAATTTTTAAGACAACCTAATATTTTTTATTATTGAAAATATTGAATCTTGATCAATTCAATAAAATATTAATGTGACAATGGATGTAAGAAGTACTATTTCTAACATTCATGATCTAAAGCATTTCTTTCTAGATATTTTAGATTTTTAGATCATTCATTTTCAATTTGTTTATTGATGAGAATGAATATATCTAAACTTATCTAAATCATTTTAAAAATAGGCAATGATAAAATAATCATAAGTTTTTGACGAATGAATTTAGTTTAACTCAGAAAATTAGTTATCGCACTGCAAAAATCACATTGATTAAGTTCAAAAATTATAAATGATGTGGCATATACTTATCTAATTATTACACGAATCAATTGAATGTACAAATATATATGAAACTTCGACAAGTGCAATTTTATTAAAAAAAAAAAAAAAATACTTTTACTCTGAAATCTTCAAATGTTTCTAATGATGGAGGAGGAGGATAAGGATTAATGTATTGTACAAAATATAGAGATGAATAATTTTTACAATGTAGATAAGATGATAAAAAATATAGATATTGGATATTTGGATGGATATTTTTTTTATGTACTAATTCTAAGATATTTATTGATTAATCTTCATTTATCATGACTATGTATGTTTTTTTTTTATTTCTGATAATGTCTAATAAGTAATATTAATAATGATTGTACTATTTTATATTTGTATCAAGAAACAGCAGCATTATTCCATTTTTATAGTTGGTATTTAGAAAATGATATTCTTTTTCAACCTAATGTATATAAATGAATTGATAAGTTTAAAGCTGACTACAAAGGAAACGATGAACGCATAGTTTGCTAAATTTTTTCACTAAATTTTTTTCTGTGAATATGAAAAGCTTACAGTAAAGTACAAACAAAATTTATAACAAATAAACACTATATTTAAAAACAATGTTGTTGTAATAACTTTTTGTTATTTTAACAAACATTGCAAATAATTGTTTATTAAATCATCTTCATCTTTCATTCGTCTCTCATTTTTTGATTTAACACTCTGAATTTGTCCCTTGACAAATTTTGTACAAATTGGACATAATGGTAAAAATTAATACATATTGTATAATGAAGAGATAAATACTTAAATTTGCTATTCTATTTGTTATTCTATTGCGTATAAAATTCATACAAGTCCTGCTCTCAGATATAAATATTCAATTTCATATCGTGATCTTAATTTCTTTACTTCATAATTTGTTTTGGATTTTCATTTATTATAAGTATATATATATATATATATGTATATGTATATGTATATGTATATATATACATGTATATATGTGTATATATATATACTTTTTTATATTGAATATATATATATATATATATATATATTCAAAATTATAAACCTATACGCATTTTCGAAAAGATGATGCATAATTATAATAATTATAATAATTAGGAGATAATATACTGCCTATTTAAGGAAATACTGCCTGCTAAACGAATATTATTTGCAACTCTAACGGCACATTTTCGTAAAATATCAAAACTATATATATTTTACTTTAGAAAATGTCATATTATACGTTAAATGTTATATAAGAACATATTATTACAGAGCCTCACCTCTGTACCTATTTATGTGCTGCAAAACAGTTTATAATGTTTTATAAGAAAAGTATAAGAGACAATTATATTCAAATTTTTGTCTATTATCATTTAATTGTTTTCTACAAATATCAGTCCAAATCGTCACAAATAAAAATCAATTTTTTAATCTTGCACAGTTTCTGCAACCGCAACTATGGATTAAGTCCCGAAGAGCTCCGGAACCTGAAGGATTTGTCGAACACTCCTCCAGAATAAACACGCTAGCAGAGAGCCCTTTCTTGATAGTCTGGAGAAACGGCGAGGTACATTCGATCTTCATGGATACTGTAGAGAGCCTCTCTTCGGCGAACATTAAACGCGGCGTGGCGAGTTTGTTGCAATATAGAGTGTTTGATAATGACATTGAAGAACGAGATGCTTCCGGTCTCTGCTTTGTAACGTACCATTCCCTGGGGCCGAAAACAGTAGGGAAACGGAAAACATCCTGCGAACAAAGTACTCTACCACCAAAGAAACGACACTCGAATCCGTTGTTGAGCGTGAAGCTCGCGAGTACTCGAAATTCAACATATGAGCTCACGCAACAGCTTTTGCCTAGCTTCATTTGCGATGAGGAGAGACATCGAATGTCACTGAATGTCAAATCGGAAGTAGGTACTATCATTACATCGAAAAGGACACTGGAATTGCTGCCTGGCACACTCAGCACGAAAACTGTGCTAGCTGATACCTTGCAACAAGCTGTCGCTGCTGTACAATTTAGATTTAGAGAAACGAGCATCGAGCTGCAATTGGAACCATTCTCGTGTCCTGATAACGGATGTCCGACGGTTAGTTTGTTCTTCTTTTTCTTTCTTCTCAGTTTTCTTTCAGAATATACATTTTCATATTAATCCTAGAATTCTAGAATGGATAAAAGTAGGATTCCTTAAATCAATTAATTGCTAACGTTAACTTAAGAATGTTTTTATGTGTAAATAAGTTAGATCAAGAGTGTCCAATTAGAAAAGAATTTCATTATTTTAATAAAAGAATTACATTACTGTGTACTATATTTATTAGTATTCGGAATATGTATATACATATAGCAAAAAAAAAATTATATATAAAATACTATTGAATCTTTATTTAATAAAGTAAATTTATATAAAGTACTATTCTAAAATAGGTTTTTTAATTTTTTATTTGGAATGCAAAAACTTTACGTCTAAGAGGAGGAAGGATAATATATGTACATAATATGATGGAAATCATATATGGCATAAAAAAGTTAAGAATCATTGTTGTAGGCGCTATATTAATTCTGAACTGGCATTGCATGTATTGCATTTTACAACAATTTTTATTAATCTTAGTATTACGAATTACTAAAATTGTGGAATATAATAGTTTTCAATAATTTTTATCAATTTTGTTGTCTGTTGCACTCAGTTGTTTTTGTTCTGTAATATTTTTGATAAATGAAATTTGAATATTGTTTTAATGATAGTATGATAGATTACTGCAATAGTTCGTGTTAGATTCTTCAAGGAAATATTTTAATTTAGATCATTTTTTGGATTTAAATTGAAAATTAATAAACTAAAATTAATGAACTTGAAACCTTTTATTAATATTTATTGATGTTATTTGAAAATATAGTAAAAAGAAGTTATTTAAAAGTATATTTTTGTAGTATAACAAAAGTTTCATGTAATATTGTCTTATATTAACAAAGTTGTCTCATTTTGAATGATTGCCATGATTTGTATCCTTGTATTCATTTAAAACATAAAACTAAAAAATAATTTGTATAATTCGTATGAAAACATCCATATAATTTGTTAAACATGAATATTTAAAATTCAACTCTGAATCACTAATGATTCTTATTTATGTCACTGTTTAAAAATTCCAATTATTATCAGAATACAGTCAGACTATAATAAATCAACTGAAGATGATTTGTAGTGTCAGATCATATTGATATCTTTTTATTATTATTGTTATTATTATTATTATTATTTAATATTAGTATAACAGGTGAAAACACTACAAAGTTGAAGACACTCTAAGTATGTTTATTTATTTTTGAGAGGTTAGAATGATTGAAACATGTTTCTAGTCACATTGAAAAAGTTTGTACAGATTTTACGAAATCTGAATATCATATTCAAACATTATATATAACAAATGATATAAGTATGTTAAATTTAGCAGAATATTTAATCTCAATTATGGCAAAATGCAGAAATTAACACTAGAAAAATGTTCGCTAATTAGTCATACACGTATAGTTAAATTTAATAAATTAGTATTTTTAATGAAAAAGTTGCTAACTTCTGTTCAAGATAGTACTAGAATTAATTTATTCTTATGTAATTAATTGGATCTCACTGTTTCATAAACATTTTATATCAACATGGAAACTAATCTTTCGCGAATGAACACTCTACACAAAATAAAAAATGTCACATGGATATATATACTTTAGTTTTCGAATTATAATTGAAGAAAATGTTCAACATGTCTTTAGTGCCTCAATACTACTGCACATCGTAGTACGCTTAAATCTTATCTAATGTTTACAAAAATTATTCATATATATGAATTAAACAAAACTCAATCCATTAAAATTTTATTTTTGATGTGACTTTTATTTTAATTTAAATCTATTGTACATTCAATTGAGCTTGTGCACCATCTACATTTTTTTCAATTATCTATAACAAAGATGATATGTCATATGATATTTTTTATGTGTTTTAATGTGTAGATTTTTAAAAGTACTTCTTAAAATATAGACATGTGTCTAATTCAAAATCAAAATTTTCAAAATTTGAAATTAAAGTGGTAACATCTTTGAAAATAGTAAACTCAGGACTTTCAAAGTAAAGATTTTATGTAACCACGTTTTTTATAAATTTGCAAGTGTTTAAAATATCGATAATTTTTCATTTAATAGTACAATTATGTATTTATGAAAAAAATATAATTTGATATATAAACTACTTTGAATTTTTTCGTTTTTTTGTAACTTCAATTAAAAATGTTACAATTGCATGTAGAAAAGAGATTTGTAGGATAAAAGATTAAAATCATAAGAAATAATCGATTAGAAATAAAAATTCACATTTATTTTTGTATTATATTAGATCGAACAAACTATCGAGGAGTATCGCAGCAGCTTGGAGAACAATGCTATGGGTACAGTGAAATCTGCCTCAGCGTTTCTCAAATTAGTACCTCTAGTGAAATCAGCCAGTCCAGATGAACTATTGAAGCTTCTAAAGAGTCCACGATATCGTCAACTAAAACTTCAGCTATTGGACATTTTTGGTGCGGCTTCAACTGTAGCAAGTCATCAAGCAGCCATGAAAGTTCTCCGACAAGACGAAATAGGAGACGAGACCGAAAGATACTTTTGGGCTCTCTCCTTGTCGCCAACGCCAAACGCAGACATCGCCAGAAATATTCTCAAGCGATCGGAAGAAACAAATCCGAACGATAAAGTGGCAGAAACGATAGCTTTAACCGCAGCAGCGATTGCACGCCACTTAGAGTCTTTAGGTGCTATCGAGAAGACAAGAGAAAGCTTAGAAATCGGTCTCGATAGTTGCACAGGTGAAGAATGCAAATTGAGATTCCTCAGGGCTCTGAGAAATTTAAAAACCAAGACTGCGATCCCGACCCTGTTAAAATTCGCAACGAGCGAGAATAAAGCTCTCAATATTGCCGCTTGGAAGGCTTTAGCAGAGCTACCGAAAGATTCATTAACTCCTGAAGTAATAACAGCAGCGAACCAAGTGTTTTACGAGATAGGCGGACCCAGGAGAGACAGTAGTTCCAGAACTATAGCCTTGGATATTATTCTAAAAATGAATCCAACGGAAGAAGATATTAGATACTTGGTGAAATATTTAGCAAGCACAGATCCTGCCTATGAGGTTCGGAAGTATCTCAGTCAACGATTAGAACAATTCTCTGAGAAGGATCCTGAATTTGCTAATAAACTGAATAAAGTTTTGAGTGTCAGTGGAATAGATATCATTAATTACAACGTATATGCGCAGAAAGGTCTTAGCACAGCGTTCGTGAGAAATTTTTTAAGATCAATAGATAATAATGGATCCTTGGTAACCGTCCAAGAGATTCATTCAGGCTTACTGAAGCGTGGAACAGTCGACGTAGTTCTCCAAGTTGAGAATCATGAAGAAGCGTTATTCTCTCTTGGTCTGTTTGCTGGAGGTTTAGGAAGCTTCGTTTCGACTTCCAATCAGGAAGAGGATACTCAAGATGACGAACCAGCTACCGCGGGAATGGAGCTCGATTTCTTAGGCGTCGGTATTAGACCTTTCGTTTTCTTCTCCGGTCAAGGGGAACTCATGGGACATGTCTGGTCTGGGACAGCGTCCGAACGAACTCCAGCATATCAGGCTCTGGCTACTCTCCATAATTACAACGAATACATTCCATTGGCTTCAGGAATTATAGCGGAAGTCGATGTCCAGGGTGCAGTTAGTTTCGATTTGGCTGGACAGATCCAGCTGAGCTTATGGTCTAGAAACGCTCAGTCGCTGGTGGATCTAAAGGCTGGCATCATGATCCAGGGAGGAACAAAGGTACGATCCGACTTCGTGCAAAGCATGGCTGAGTTCTCCATGACGATGGAACCAAAATTAGAGCTGGCTACCGACGTGGATTTCTCTGGACCAGTGGCTCTGTGCATGAGACTTAGCCAACCAGAGAACGTGGTAAAGTACCAAATGTACAAGGTGGAAAGAATACCCGGAAGTAGACATAAGCTGAGAAAAACTAGGAGAATGAGACTGTACAGTCCTGGAAGATCTTATCTGTTAAACAGGAAGAACAACGAGATGTGTTCGAAGATGTTCAATTAATCATCGAAAACTGTTTGTTCACGTTTGTCGTGAGATTTTATAGTTTATGAAGACAATTTTATTGAAGATTTAATTTTTTTTTCCATGCATGTTTGGTGCATCGAGAAAAAGAAACTACGTGTATTAAATGAGAGAGGAGTATATTTTTCTTTAAATACTACATACGTAAGTATTTGATACATTAAACAATTCTCAGATTAAAGAAAGTTTTATTCCGGTGAAAAATCGCTCGAAGTTATTCCAGTTTTATCAACATGGTCCGTTTGCGATCCGATTTCGATTTAATTTTTTATGATTGAATGATTAAATAATACAATTGAATATTTTATACTTTTTTATATAGATAGCTAGTATATATTAAATACAAAATACGCTAAGTATGAAAAATAAAATGATTTTAAAAAATTTTATTCAGAATGCTTATGGCGTACAAAATATTATTTGAAAATTGATAATAACAAATGATTAAATTCAATAGATTATAAAGGATTAAAAATATATTAGGTTACTTACTTTTTTATAAATTTATAATTTATATAATGCGTTTTGTATCAGAAATATTTTTATTCGTGTACTGCCAATTCAGAGAATATTATATGTTGAAAGGTTTTATGATATACATATTTTATGATATACATATTGAGAGACGATTTATAGAATATATCAAAAGAAACGAAAATTGCAAAAGCTATATATTTTTTAGATCAAATCAAGATATTTTAACTTATTTGTTTAATTTATTCGAAATGAACCGATATTAAAATCTGGTGTGGAATATGAAATATAAGATATTAAAGATGTCCCTACGTAAAAAAGAAATGATAAATCGATGGAATAAATTGATCGAAATGTAACAATTTAAGAAATATATTTACTTCTCATTTTTAAGAATTTATCTTCATCTGCCCTTCATTTTGTCAACTTAATTCGTCTCTTGGTATCAAATTCACACAATGATAAAAAATACCTACAAAGAAAGAATAAATAGTTAAATTTGCAAATTCTTTTATTGACGATAAAATTTATATTCAATTATATGTAAGATTCACATAAATCCTCTCACGTATAAGTCAATTTCATGTTATGATACTGTCAGGGTTCATGTAAGTATTTATTGAATAAGAATACACGATAATATAATAGATAGGAAATGCATACATAGGTACGACGCCTCGAGATCAACTTACAAACCTTTTCTTCTTCTCCGGATTTCACAAATAATTCAGGCTGTTCCATGTATACTTCGTCGGCTAGATCTCCTTGAACATATGCTGATACGACTGCTCTTATTATTAAAACTTCTTCGTAGACTATTTCTTTACGTTGTGTATGCCCTCTTGCGACCAATCTTGCTTTGTATTTATTTACGGAATCGTTCTCGTCGTGTTTCATTTTGAACATCGATTAGTGAGAACTTTCTTGTCTTTGGGTCTGGGAACGAGTATCCACGTTTTATTTCTGCACATATTCAACATTCATTGCAACCAGTCATAAATCAGAATCTTCTCTTTCCATTGCTTCGTTTACATTATTTGGCTACATTTCTTTTAATTGGAAAAATTTTTGTTCGCCTACCTCTTTTTCCGGTTCTTAATATTTTTGACCTTCCACATCTGCATTGTAAATCCTTATTTTTGGGTACTGGTGTTTCGTCCGTCTCTTCGGATTCTGCTTCTTCTTGTTTTCTATCTTGATAGTTCCTTTCTTCTTCTTCATCTATGTTTTCTTCTTTTGTGTCTTCTTCTGTAGACTTTACTTTATCATTTTTATTGAATATTGGTAACGAAAATGGTAATTCATCTGTAATTCTCTCTGAATCTAACGTTTCAATAAATCTTACATCGCGTGCTTTGATTACTATTTTTGTATTCAACAATGGTCTCCACACTTTGATGTGTTAGCCTTTTTTACATGTATGAGTTGACCTTGTGTTACATTTATATTAATTAATGCAAGTGCCTTTGCATCTTTCCTTTTCATTTACCATTCTACCTCGTTTTGTTCCGTTTTCACTTCACTTCCATCAACGATTGACCATAAATCGTTGTATACAAGGACACTTTCCACAAACCATAATTATTGTCATTTAATCTATCTATGTTCC